TCACAGGCGTTTGGTCGCGCTTTTTATGAATTTAGGTGCTGCTCAGTGTTTTACAGTTTAGAAAAAAAAATTAAAGCAATCTTTTGATACTCTTGCTATCTTTAGAACTGTATTACCAAATCCAACAGAACCACTGTATGTGCCCGATTTATGCTTATCAGCGAGAATTTATCCTTCTAATCTTACATACGATCTCACAGTGACAGAGGTAACTTAAGCATTCTAACTTTCACAAGCATTAATGAGGAATTTTTAGCCCTTGAAACAAATGAAGGAATGGGGGGAGTTTTACAATGGTGTCGCTGCTGGATTACGTGTTGTCGGTGCTGATATCACCAAAGTGGATCATGAATGGCTAACGTTGTGCCATAGCAATGATAAGGTAGAGACTGATGTAGATATAATTCTATTTTTTATTTTCTGCTTGATCTCCGTCCAGTACAGGAGTTGAATGTTAATTGCGCAACCTTTTAAACCGTTTTTTTAAAATCTGACATTAAATTGATTGTTTCTGAACTGCGCTCATTTATCCCAAAGGCTCCAAGGAAATTAGCATCTGAATTGGAGGAAAGGTACGGACGAAATACGATTTTATGTAAGTAGGGCGAGACAACGAGCTTACATGAAATCGTCATCAGTTCTTTTGCCCATTTAGTGAATCGCTGATATCTTTTCGAAACTCTCATGCTAACTTTTTCATGAGTTTGTATTGCGGACAATTCTCTTTGTAAGTAAAGGTGAAACGGCCAGGCGATCTAAGACATTGATTTAAGGTTATTCAAGTCACCAGTCTCTTCACGCGCTTAGACTCGAATCCAATCTCTTCAACTCTTTCGCCCTGTTGTGTGCTGATGATTTCTGCTCGAAATGCTTATATGGGCACTATCACTTTCGATTTCGAGCCGAAACATCTATTTGGGTCTAATTTGAAAAGCTGGCGATTTCCAAAAGTCGAGGCGAGATGGCCACGTAGTCTGAGGCGCTGGTTTCAGTCTATTCCCATGGGTTCGAATCTCACTCTCGTCGGCTTTTCTGCATTATGCAGGTGTGTAAAGTGACAATTTCTGCTCGAAATAATTGTACAGATATTTTCCTGACGTCCTGCGGAGAATACGAAGAACTGACGTTTTTGAAATCAAGACGAGATAGGCGAGAGCGCTTTTAGATACCTCTCTTTGGGGGCGTGGGTTTGAATCCCACTCTCGTCATCTCTGCTTTGTGCCCAGTTGTAAGAAGATGCTGTTTCTTTTGCATTTTTCTTTATACTCACTACTTTACTAAACAACGGAATCTACTATAGTTTGAACTTGGGAAAGTGTTCATTTTTTCGATAGTAGGGCGAGATGGCCCAGCGGTCCAAGGCGTTGTTTTACGCATCAGTCTCTTCGAAAGCGTGGGTTCGAAACCCAATCTCGTCATCTCATTTGCTGTTTGCCAACTGTATGAATAAATGCTGTCTATTTTGCACTTTCGCAGACAAAGGAACCAACCTACTGTGGTTTAAATTTGGGAAACTGATGGTTCTGAACAAGCAGGGCGAGATGGCCGAGCGGTCTAAGGCGCTGGTTTTAGGCACCAGTCTCTTCGGGGGCGT